CTTATTGGTAGTATATAATCAACTAAAATTATAAAAGGTAATTACCTGGTTCTAATAATTAAAGTGGAAATAAGATAACCAAAAATAATAAAAAGGTTAATGATGAATGTTCTGGCCTATTTTGGAATCAAGCCTAAGAGAGACAAATTGGGAGCCCTTAACTTTTTTCTTTATAAAAATAATTGAAACTTATAAAAAAATTTAATAGTACAGAGAACTCCAGAATATCATTTATTCAAATTCATCAATTTTTAACATTTTACTGCATTTGCTTTATCATTTTCTCTCTCTAGATATATTTTTTCTGACTCATTTGAGAATAGGCTGCATATATCATGTCCCTTTACATCTTCATACTTAGCATATATACTAAGAAAAAAGAAACTCCTTTATATAAATATCACACAGTTGTCAAATTTGGAAGCTACTTTAATCTATGGTACATATTTCAACTTTGTCAATTATTCCAATAAATCTTTTATAGCATTTCTCTCCTCTGGTATAAGTTTCAATTAGGACCATGTATTGACTTTAGTTGTCAAGTCTCCTTAATCCCTTTTAATATGGAATAGTTTCTTAGCCTTTGTTGTTGTTTTTTTTCTTTCATGACAGTTATTTCATAGAATGCTTCTCAAGTGGGTTTAGTTGATGTTTCCTCATGATTAGATTCAAGTGATGTTGTGTTCTTCTCACAGTATCATATCATAGGGATCAAAGTGTTGCCTAGTTTCTCCACTGTATAGTTACAATTTTCCCTTGCAAAAAATGTATGACTTGTGGGAAGATATTTTGAAAACATAAAAAACATCCTGCTTCTTATAAAACTGTCTCCCATCCCCCAATTTCACTGATGATGTTTGCCCAAACCAATCTTTACTATGATAGTTGCAAAATGGTGATTTTCCAACTCCATCTCTTCCTGAATTTATCAGTGGAAATTCTATTTTAAGGAAAACAACTGTCCCCTTTCCTCCATCTCTCTCTCTCTCCCTCTCTGTCTCCCTCTCCCTCTCTCATATTAGTATAGACTTATGGGTTCTTGTTTTATTCAATGAACGGTATTCATTACTGTTCTTATATTGGTACTCCAATTATCTCAGAGTTGGCTAGTGAGAGGCCCTTCAAACTGGCTCCTTTTGACATGCCCCTACTTTATTTTCTGAGCACTTCCTTACTTTCTGGCACAACAAGATGTTCCAGCTCATCATGTACCTTCCTGTCCTATCCCTGAAATCAGCCATTTCTTCAAGAAGCCCTGGTTCCTTTTTGTGGATAGAGGTATTTTATAAATCAAGATCTGAACAGGGATTCTTTAATTTTTAAGTTAGCTTTTTAAGTTAGTTTTAATCACAAAATTAAGAAGGCTATATTTCAATTTTTATTAATCATCATATTTATAGCTGATTTAGCCATCCTCCCACCCCTTTATGGCAAAAAGAAAGAAGACACACAAGCTTACTTTTTGTATTTTTCTTATTTACTTGAATATAATTAATTCTGGCCACAATTATTAGGAAAGAACACTCATTGCAACAGTAAGTACGAATAAGTCTCCAGATAGCTACTCAAAGTATTATATCCTCAAAAGAAATTTGTAATGGAAGACTGCAAGGGTTTTCAAATACTATAATCTATGGAACCCTGAAGATAAGTCTAATGAAACAAGGAACATCTCACTGAATTAATTTTATTTATTTATTTTTAATTATTCATTGAATCCATTTTAAAAAATTGAATCAAAGTTGTATAAAATAACACTTTTTTTTTTTTTTTTTTTTTTGGAGACAGGGTCTTGTTCTTGTCTCCTGGGCTAGAGTACAATGGTTTCATTATATCTCACTATAACCTCAAACTCCTAGGTTTAAGCCTTCAGCTGGAGAAGGTGGGGCTACAGCTGCCCACCACAATACCTGGCTAATTTTTCTATTTTTATTGTAGTAGAGACGGGGTCTCATTCTTGCTTATGCTGGTCTCAAACTCCTGGGCTCAAGTGATATGCCCACCTTGGCCTCCCAGAGTACTAGGATTACAGGCATGAGTCACCGCACCTGCCCTAAAATAACACTTTTGAAGCCAGATGCTTATGCAAAAGATGTTTTCCTTTTTACACCGGTGTGATATATTGGAGATTGCTGTGATAACACCTCATAATATTATTTTTATGTGATAAAGGTAGATAAACTATAAAGTGTTTGAAATAGGGCATCAATTTCTATGTTAACTGAGTGAAATTAAATACTCTGTCTCTTGATAACACGGATCTTTCAACACAACATACTTTTAAAATATTAAAGATGAGATAAATAGAGATCCTATTTTATGTGTGATAGTTCTGGGGGGGAAAGATCAAATCCATTTCTTTGTCGATTATACAGTACTTAGTATTCATTCCCACTCCCACCATTGCAGGGGAATCACCTGGGACTTTTATATTTTTTATTTTTTTTAGAGACAAAGTTGCCTAGGATTTTTATTATTTTTATTTTTATTTTTTTTAGAGACAAAATTGCCTAGAGACTCTGTTGCCTAGGGTGGAAAGCAGTGGCATGATAATATCTCACTGCAACCTCAAACTTCTGGGCTCAAGTGATCCTCCTGCCTCAGCCTCCCCAGTAGCTGGCACATGCCACCATGCCTGGCTAATTTTTAAAATTCTTGTAGAGATGGTGTCTAAATATGTTGCCTAGGCTGGTCTTTAACTCCTAGCCTCAAGCGATCCTCTCCCAAAGTGCCAAGATTACAGGTGTGAGCCTGCAATACAGGTGTAATTTAGAAGCCTGAGATTTCTAAAATCCAGACTCTGGAGCACCACCCTGGTCTACTGAAACAGTATATCTTATGATCCAAAAATCTGTATTTTAAAAATCTCCCCCGGATAATTCTGAGGTATTTGAGCATCAGAGTGGTTTAGGAACTATTGGACTTGGTAAAAAATATATTTATACTGGCATGCAAGTCTCATTATATATACAAGTTGCCCAAGGGCAGGAACTGAACTTATACATTTTTATAAGCCCAGCACCAGTCATGACTCTTGCATATAGTAGGCATTCAATATGTTTGTGAAAAGAATTTTGACTTCAAACTTTTTTGGTCATCAGAGGAATCATTATTATTTTGTGCAGGCTTATAAACCCCCATTAGTGATATTATACATTCATGTGACTAGGACCAACTTGCATAGCAGCCTGAAAGACAATAATGAATTGATGGACAGATTTCTAAAGTAGAATGTAGCTGTATTTGGTTATGATCTTGAATTTGGCTAACTTTATGCTCTTGAGAAATGAAGAAAGAATACCCACATTTACTTGCATAAGATTGGTTTAGTCTGTAAATTGTCTCTCTCTTGTTCTCATTTCTACTAAATGTTCTACTTGATGACAAAATGATTAGACAAAAAACGTACAATAACATCTAACAGTTGTATGGTTTAAAACAGTGGTTCTCAATGTGCGATCTGAGAATTCCTGGGAGTTCCTTTACAGTAAGGTCAAGACTGTCCTAATAATAAGTAGTTATTTGCCTTTATCATCATCATTCTCTTTTGAGTGTAGAGTTTGCCAAAGGCTACATGTTGGGTAAGAGTGCAACATTTAATGCAGAATAGGAGAATCAGCTCTCTTCTATTAGGCCAGACATTAAAGAAATTTGCAAGAATGTAAAACCATCCTACTCTTTTTTTGGGAAAAGTTATTTTTCATAAAAATGTTATTTATGTCAACATATAATGAATTTATTATTTTTTAAATGAAAAGCTAACACATTTTCCATTTTAAGGTATAATATAGTAAATATTGATAGGTATAACACATAAGCAAAAGTTCTTTGAAGTCCTCAATATTTTTTAAGAGTGTAAAGGGGTCCTGAGATAAAAAAGTTTGAGAACCAGTGATTTATGTTTTTACATGTTATTTAATAGTTCAACTGGTTATTTAGTTTTATATAGACAAATATTGTCTAAAATCAGGATTGAATTTCACCAATTCTTAAAAATTGATTTTTGTTCACCATATATGTATTGATGATTTAACTTTCTTTTTTTCCTTGTTTTGGGAAACAGTTGACTTAGATACTACTTAGGATTCCATGAGCCTTTAAAATGTTCTGGAATTCCCATCATCAGAGATAATGGACATGTCTGAAAAGGACAACAAACTAAGTGCCTATTAATATGTGGGGAAGGATTTCTTTATGACGTTTCTCACTTAACAGAGAACAGTTTAAATGGGAAGAGATACAGAAAAGGTACATTTTGATAGCTGGGAAGCAAATCAACAATGATTCCTACCTTCTGAGGCAGGTAGATCCAGAGGAACACAGATTAAAGAATACTGTCTAAGAATCCAGACGTTAGAGTCCTTCAGATGTGTGTGTGTCCTAGCTATAGCATTTACTGCTTTACCTAAGGGTCTTAGCTTGCTTCCCTTCCTGCAAATGAATAAAAATAGTATCCATCCAGCACAGTGGTTGTAAAAAAACACTAAGCTGTATGTAAAGTGCTAGCATAAAGCCATGAACACAATAAATTGTTCTCATGTTAATGGATAGGGAGGGTCCTCTGAGAAGAAATGGAGAAAATAGTTGATTTTGCTTACTTCGCAATTTAACCCAGTGATAATTTTGTCTGCCTTTTGTTTCCAGGGCTGTTGCCTTTTCTACTGCTCTAAGTAAATTCTTGAAAAAAAATTTATTTGAAAGTTTTCTGGTATCATAATCATAATATTTTCATTCTATTTCCACAGCAGAAGAGAAAGGCTCCTTTCCTATTCCCACTTCGGATAAAACCACATTCTTTGGGGGAAAAACATGTTTTAAGTACGTTAGGGACTAAACTCTGCAATAATGTTAGTCTGCAAATAAAACACTTGAAAAATCCATACTATAGAAAGTGGTGGGGAACTTTCTAAATCCACAAAAAGTTCAAGGTTATGAAGTAAGAAAATCGTACCACAAGTTTAAACCTAAACGCAGTTGCAAAGAAACAATTCCCAACTCACTGTGGTCCAGCTTTCTTTTCACTGACTCTTTTTTTGCTTAGCCAGCACGAAAACGGGTACCAAGCAGGCGTCAGAGGGCACAACAAATTTTTAAAATAGATTTCTATGTCTTTCGTGGAGGAGAAAAAAAACCGGAGCAAACCCCTGAGGGCTTCTGGGAACTCCACAGCTTTCCCGCCTAAAAGGTGAGGGGGCGGGGCCCGGGGCTGGGGCGTGACGAGTTGCTTCCCTTACTCCTCCCCCTCCTCTTTCTTCATGCCCCTCCCACACCTATTTCACCACGATCCCGACAGGCTCAGCGGCGAGAAGAGTCACGTGACGGTGGGCGGGGGAGGTGGAAGCTTTTCTCCGCTGCTGCTTCGTTTCTATGGTTGTCCGAAGTGGGCGGCTGTGACCGAGGAGCTGGTGGAGCTGGAGCGTGGACGGGTGAGTCTTGGACTGTGAAGGGTGTGAGGAGACAGCAATTTAGGGAAGGCGAAGGGGAAGGCGGTGGCGAAATAATATTAGCGACCTGGGCTCCGAGGCCAGCTGTTTGTCAGCTCCAGGGCTCCGGCAACTTGTCAGGTCTAGCGGGATACCTTACTCTCCCTGATGCGCTCAGCTCCTGGTGAGCGCTTGCTCCCCATCCTCCGCTTTCCTTCGCCTCACTACGTCCCGTCTCCCTGTCCCAAGAGAACTTCTCCCAGTACCGGGTTCCCAACTTGGGCGCCGACGTTTCACTCCTCGCGAGCGACCGGGGCACACAGGTAGCTTTGATTGGCTCTCCTGGAATTTTGGATGTGGTTGGCAGTAAGTGGGGAAGTTTACAGATGGATTTCTGATAGGGACAAATATTAGTCACCTAATCGAAAAAAGAAGTGGAAAATCAAAGGAGCAATACAAAGTACAGCCTTCTCGAATGGTTTAGTTTTTATCTTTTCCAGCACCTTCCCGTTCTCATCCTCCCTCTCAAGTTTCCTTCTCACCATCCCCTCCTGGCCCACCATATGATGTTTTGAGAAAGAGCCAGATGTCACTGGCCATTGTGAATAGGAGGAGAGTTTAGACTGGACGGTTCTTTACGTTGCTATCTGTGTAATCTTGTGGTTCATGGTTTCTTTACCTTCTGTTTTAGATGCCTAAAAAATACTGTGGGTATTAGTAAATATAAGTAGAATAAATATTTTATAGCTAAGGGACTAGGGTAAAGTATTTTATTTTCCCTGTGGTACTTTGGAAAGATCCATTTTCTTCCTGTTCTTTATAGATAATTTCTATTACACATTTTTTTGGGTGGCTTTTTAAATATACCTTCATTTATGTTAAAGCGTCCTTTGGGTCATGAGCCGAAGTGATCTAGCAGTATAAGAAAGGCATTTGCAGATAAGGTGAGAAAAGTTTGGAGTTTTTAGCTTAGGAGAGTTTAGGCTTCATTGAACTGTACATCAAATTAAAAAAAAAATCAGCATCTTGAGGCAAAGATGTTGGTCAGGATGACCAACCCACTGTCTTTCTGGTGTGAACAAGGTAATGAGCTTGTTGAATATTGCCTTATCTTAAAAACTTTAGAACTTACTGCCACTTGTCTGTGAGAAGGTGGCTCTGGCCTTTGACTGCTGCTCTTCGTCCCTACCCTGGATAGGTCCCCGATGATCTCTTCCACTTAAGAACAACATCATTCTGACTACCTAATTATATCAAGAAAGTATTGACAACCAGAAGAGACCACCAAAAAAAAAAAAAGAAAAAAGTCATTGACACCTTCTAAGTGTCCTTACTAAGGATCATAAAACACAAAATAATAATATTAAAAAGTGAAGATGCAGGAGTGGGTTGTGTGTGCTTGGGGAGAAAGGGAAAGAGTGATAGAAACCATATAATAAAAGCAAGAGAACAAAAATGTTTATTGCTATCTTCCTTTATAGAGTATTTGCTATATTTAGTAGATGCATTACATTCCTAGGGGGTGCAACTTGAGACTGACTTTCTTGTATTTAAGAATAAAACAGTGGTTTGCAGTTTCTTCCATAATGCAATATTATATAAAATAATTATAACTGAAATATTTAACTGGTCAATTCCTTCAAATCATACATTATTCAGAATTGTAGGACTAACATAATTTATAACTTTATAAAATCTAAGTTTGCCACCTTTAATCTTTACAGTACCTCTTGAACAATTTTTTATAATGGCTGTAGCACTTGCTGAACATTAACCACTTTTTTCCTTGCAGAGTTTTGAATATATCCCTTTTTAAGTGAGAAAAAAATTTTTAAAAAGGGTTTACTCACAACTTTTTTTTTCCACCCATATTTTTAAAGTGAAAATAGCTTTATTTTGTGCCGGGGGAAAAAGGTGATGTTCTGTCTTCTTTGGTAAATTATGAGAAAATTGTTAATGCTTTTAAGACATTAAATGTGAATATCTGCGTATATTTGAGAAGAAAACTCAGGGGTAGTATTTTTAAATGTTTTAAATTTACTATTATAAATGTCATATGTGCTTATTTTTGAAAAATGGAAACATTATAGAAAATATAACATGGAAAGTCAAAATCCTAATTTATCTTTTCCAATACTACCAGGTAACCCTAGATCCCTTTGCATATTTGGATATCAATGTGGAAAAGTAGTTAAGACTTTGGAGTCAGACTCTCTGGGAAAGATGGTAGTAATAGTACTAGGCCTACATCCTGAGAAACCCCAGAAGAAAGAGAACTCCCCTTTCTCTACTATTTTAGCAAACTATGGTAGTCTCCTTGGCCTGAGTTAGTCTTTGCCCATTCTAGAGACGGTCCCTGTGATCAGATTGATGGAATGCTTATGTGGGCAGGCTTGGATTTTCTTTCCACCCTGACGTGGGGTGGTGAGAGATGTGGTTTCGAACCACTTGAATTAAGGGTGGGTGACAGATAGTTTCTAAAGGAAAATTGAGGTGTTACTTCCTGGAGAAGGGAAAATGGTTGCTGGACAGGCAAAAACAATAGGTGTTCACTAAAATAATTTTCATGTGTTTGTTTTTTTTGTTAAAGGTATTTGTTTTCCTTTTGCAATATACATTAATTGTATTTACAGTTTATGTTGATTTTTTTCCTATTTAATAATTCTTTTTTTCTTTTCTCTACCACTGCATATGTGTTCAGATTTTTTTCTTTATTAATGTCTATTATTATAGAACTTGAAATTTATACTCTTCCAGTGTGTATATTTGTATTGTAATTACATGTGTAGTACTTTTGCTCTGGAGTATTCAGGTTTTATAACTTTAAATATATTGTGTGTTTGGCCTTTGTTAAAATTGATTATTGATATTTTTATTACTATGAGTAATCTTGATTAATCAATTGCAGTTTATAAATAAAATGTAGTTTAGTAAGTAAAATGTTTTAAATATTTAAATATATAGTCAATATGATTAAATGTTAGGTTCTTTTTATTATGTTTAAAAATCTGTTATTTTTAAAATCACTTCATTTTGAACATTGTATGTAAAATAAGTCACTATAATTTTCACTAATTGCTGTTACTGGGTATTAACTTTAAAACTATAGTTAACTATAGGTTTTATTCTGGTTTATATATTTTTTTTTTTTTTTGAGACAGAGTCTCGCTTTGTTGCCTAGGCTAGAGTGAGTGCCGTGGCGTCAGCCTAGCTCACAGCAACCTCAAACTCCTGGCTCAAGCAATCCTCCTGCCTCAGCCTCCCAAGTAGCTGGGACTACAGGCATTCGCCACCATGCCCGGCTAATTTTTTGTATATATATTAGTTGGCCAATTAATTTCTTTCTATTTATAGTAGAGACAGGGTCTCGCTCTTGCTCAGGCTGGTTTCGAACTCCTGACCTCGAGCAATCCGCCCGCCTCAGCCTCCCAGAGAGCTAGGATTACAGGCGTGAGCCACCGCGCCCGGCTGGTTTATATTTTTATTCATTATTTTGATGGTTCATCATATTTTGAGAGAAAATATAATTGAAGCAGTATATTGTGTCTTGTATTCAATTGAAAAAAATGTCAACAGCTCACCTCAATGGATATTTGAACTTTAATTACTAGCATTGGTGGCACAGGCTTTAGTTTAGACAGACAACTATATTCTAAAATGCAACTCCACTTCTTAATGTTCAGTAATTACTTAATCTTTCTGAACTTGAGTTTATTCCATTTGTAAAATGGAAATGATAATGCCTGTCTCACAGGAGTCTTGGGAGGATTAAATTAATTAGTATATGTCAAGTTCTTGGGATGTGGTGGGTTCTTATTAAATGTAATTGTTAATAAACAGCAATAACAAAAATAATGCCTAAAAGGATCTTATTTTCCCAATTTCAAAATGTTTGGCCCAGGGAGTTTAATATATAAAGGTGTCTGAGGAATTAACTAGATTGTTCTTCCACTTGTCTTGATTTTAGCAGGTTGTAAAATTCCATATTGCATATGTGTTAGTAAACTGGAAGATTTGGTTAAGCTACATAATTATTAATGGAGTGTCCACATATTTGAAAAATGCCTAATCCAAGTATGATAACTATTAGGCTGAGAGAATATATTGAGAAAGTTTTATATGAACACTGAGTTTAGTATAATATTACATGGACGGTAGCATGATTCTTTACAAGAGGAGCTATGGATTGAGCACCTGGGAAGTTCAAATCAGAATTCATGGTTACTTTTGGTAATAGGCAGAAAAGATAAAAATGGTTTTGTTTTTATTTTTAAGGGTAAGGTTAGGGTAATATTCCTGTGAAGAAGTAATGCTTTGAGAATATAATAGTAGTAGATACTTGTGGGTAGAAGAGCCAACAGTTTAGGATGTTGGTTGAAAAAACAAAAAGGGCAACTGTGGAATTAGACAACTATGAGAAGTGATTGACATTAAATATAATTAATGATCTGATACTGGCAAGTTAAATATTGCCTCATTAGGGGATAGGTGTTTTAGCCCTGTTTATGAGAAAAGAAATGGCCAGAAGTATATTAATCTTTTTTTCCCCAAATTATTTTTCCCTAAACTAACAGGGTGATCAGTTTTTTGCAAATTGTGAACATTTCCTAGACTAACTAATATTAAGTTCAAAGTGAGTGTTACTATGATAAAATTGAAACTTTAGTGTAATCGTTGAGAA